TTCTGCCACTGCATATGCATTTATATATATATATATATATATATATATATATATATATATATATATATATATATATATATATATATATATATATATATATATATATATATACATATATATATATATATATCAGGCTTTCCCAGGAGAGGTGTGCGGTCGCACGTCTTGTTTGTCCACGCATAGAATATATTTTTCTGACTAACTGACCACGTTTTATTATTATGCATTTCAAGAATTCGCGCCAAAACAAAGCTAAACGAAAATACCGCAAAAATACAAGCAATGCTAATGTAAATAACAGAAATCTGTTAGTGCTTTAAAATTAAAAAATTAATGTATGTTATTAAAACAAAAACTTACCTATATTTCATTTATTTGTTTTTTCTTGTATTTTAGGGTGGTAGTTATTTTAGCTATAAAAAATCAAATCAATAAGAAAAATCAAATCAAAAAGAAAAAGATTTTCGTTTAATGAAAATAAAAAGACCTTTTAATGTAAAATTTGTTTATGACTTTTATCAGTCAGTAATACTTTAAAATTCACGATAGAACTATAAACAATTTTTAAATGTTTTGTAAATACATTTAAATGTTTAAATGTATTGATACGCAAGAAAGCGCAAAAACAAATGCTATTTATTTGTAAAATATGTTTTTTTTTTTTATTTTTAAATGAAAGAAAATATTATTGTCAAACAATTGAGTTGCTTATTTTGCAATCATTAATTGACATAGTGATTGAGTGTTAATATATAATAATGTCCCGAGGGAACTTTTTTCGTAATAATGACAACAGAAGCAATGCATTTATTCTTTTAACTTTTTTCATAATTACAAAATTATGAAATTAAATAATTTTAATGTAATAAAAGGCGAGCATTGACTCAGTATAATCAGTTTAGAATAAGTCGAGAGAGAACTTTTTTCACATTGAAACCTTGTTATGTTAAAAATCTCAAATAATATATTTAATAATAAACAGCAATTTATTTTCTTGTCTAAGTATTGGGGAATAACGTCATCGCCTTTGCATAAACCTTCGTAAAAACTAAATTAAATGAAAAAGCTTAACGAAATTTATCTAGCGTAAATAATGAATCAGTTTTTTAGTATATTGTCTGATGAAGTTCATGAATAAATTACGTATCAAGTCTTTTTATTTTCATGAAAATTTTATGACTTATAGTTGTCTTTTTCTTGACTTGTATCAAATTTCGTAGCTGAAAATAGCAACCCTAAAAAAAAAAAAAAAAACAGTATAAAAATTTTGAAAAAAATGTTCAAGACTTTTTTTTTTTTTTGTTACAAAAATTTTTTTTTTGTAAATTTTTTTTTTATTATTAAATTATTTTTCTTACATCCAATTTTATACTTTGTTTAGACTTGTTTCCTTTTTTTAGTATTATTTTTTATTCTCTGTGGATAAGTTCCGCTTTCCCGCAAAATATTGTCGCAGTCACATTTTCTGAAAAATTTATTCTATGCGTGGACAAACAAGGCATGCAACCGCACGCCTTTCCTGGGAAAGCCTGATATATATATATATATATATATATATATATATATATATATATATATATATATATATATATATATATATATATATATATATATATATATATATATATATATATATATATATATATATATATATATATATATATATATATTATGTTAGTGTATTCTACAAATAGAGTGCTCAATGTTCTTAAAGAGCAGAACAATAATAAAATTACTAATAACTAATAATAAAATTAGTAAAATTAGTAAAAACAGCATTTCTTGCTTTCTGATGATCCTACTGATGGAAAAACAAGCTGTTGAATAAAATAAAAATTAGAAGTGTTTTTACTAATTTATATATATATATATATATATATATATATATATATATATATATATATATATATATATATATATATATAAATATATATATATATGTATATATATATGTATATATATATATATGTATATATATATATATATGTATATATATATATATATATATATATATATATATATATATATATATATATATATATATATATATATATATATATATATATAAACAATCTAAAATGTATTCTACAAAAGAGTGCTCAATGTTCTTAAAAGAACAGAGCAATTACAAATTAGTAGAAAATCACTTAGCAAAATTTTTTCTCATTTAACACTGTGTTTCATCAATAAAGACTTGTCAGAAATGAATGATCAAATTAATAAAACTTCAATTTATACCAAAAATTAAATTACAGGAGGTCACATGTCTTAACTACTGCAATTTTTCACACATTTGTGTAATTTGCTGACACTATTGTAAAAAGAATTCTTTAGAAATGATTACTTAAGCTTTTTTAAAAAATAATATATTTTTTTCAAAGGGAAGTTAATGTAACTGTTATTTGAGCTCACTTATTTTTATAGTTTTTTAGGAGAAACTTATTTTCGTGCCTGCATTTAGAAATTAATTCCGATTTTTTGTTTAATAAACATTCTTGGTTTGTATGTGTAATTATTTCAAATTTTTCTTGTAGACATAGTATGCATTTTTTGGAAATATTGTAATATGCAGGCACTGTTTTAAGGGTGGACCAATTCAGTGTAAAATCATCAATATTTTTATCTTTTAATTCCCATATATATTTTGACAGCATGGTGTCTTTTGAATACTTTTTATTTTTAAAAGATTGCTTATGATTGGCAAAACGTTTTTTCCATTCAACTTCTGTTATGCCAATATATTGTTTATCAGGTACATTCTTAGAGGAGACAACACATTTATATACCACATTTTTTGATAAGCAACTTCCACTCATTGGACAATTGTTTTTTTGTTTACAATTACAATTTTCTGTAGTTTTTTTCATTTTGGATTTCTTTTTTGTTTAACAAAGCATTGTTGTGACCTTTTATAATTCTTTCCATATTTTTTGTGCAACTGTAGCTAAAAAATATGGAAATGTAAAAAATATGGAAAGAATTATAAAAGATCACAACAATCCTTTGTTAAATCCTATGAAGTTTTATTAATTTCTGACGAGTCTTTATTGATGAAACACAGTGTTAAATGAGAAAAAATTTTGCTAAGTGATTTTCTACTTATTTAATTATTTTGAAAAAATCACCAATAACTAGAAAGTTCATGCTAACTTGGCCATCATGGCAGATGTGTATTACAATGAAAAATACTGCTCTGACTAGCAATCACTATGGATACAGCTATGGCAACTATTGCCTCAAGATTTTACAAGATTGCCTTAAATTTTTTTTTTTTTAATTTTGTTATTTTTACCAAGTATGGCTTCAAAAGCAGAGCATTGAAAAATAAAGTTCACTTGTTTGAAAAACTTAAATTAAATTTGATGAACCAAAAAAAAAGGAACTCAATTTTACAAGAAGCAGATTTCATGTTCGTCGGTCATGTTCAAGCCTTTTCTGGATCTGCTAAAAACATTGCTAATAGATATATTTCATATTTGATCTTAGAACTGGAATTTCATTTCATGAACTTGATCTTATCAGATGCTCTGGTACTGTCCCTAACATGGGATTCACACAATTAAAAATTTTTAAAATGACCACTGCTGTAGAGGATTCACCTATTTTTTTTTAATGAACCCAAACTCGAGATCTTTAATGTCTTATTTTTTCAAGCAAATCATATTTTAAACTAATGAAAAAAATTACCAAAAAGTAAAAAAAATTTAAAGAATATATTTTTTATTTTACTTGTTTACCATTCCAATACTTTGTTCTACTCTTGTTTCTAGCTAATTGTTAAAGAATTCAATTTTATTTAATTTGTTAGAAAAAAACATAAATAGGTATTATTTCTTCAAATATTCAAGCACTATGCTTAAATATTTGAGAATTTCTTGCTCCAGACGTAAGATGTTCGTACTTTTTTTTTTGCATATTTTTCTTTGCGGCAGCATGCTTTAATATAGTCAATGTATTTACTGAAGCACCGGTAGCAGGCTCTTTTAGTATGATGTCAGACATTATCTAAACACCATTTATACTTATGTTTTTTAACCTTATATAAATGCATCTCATTTTAGCAAGCTCTTTAGCCTTGCGCTTATAGTGTGTTTGTGTGTGTTATATTGTGTGATCTAATTTTCATTTATTTATGTTAATTTTAATAATTTACATAAATAATTATTCAGACAAGGTGTAACCAAGGTGTAAACATAAAGTTAGACCTCATCTTGCAGCCAACCTTCATAACTGTCACATTGTCATAATGTTGCTTCTTCACTTTTTTATAAATACTATAATGGCCCTGCTTTAAAAACCTAGCATATCTTGTGCCATCTACTAAAATTCATTCTCCTGTTATCATTCAATTAAGTCTCATTCTTTTACTGTGCTCCTTTCTTGCCAGTCATTGCCGAATGATTGAAAAAAAAACATAGTTTTGACAAATGTGGTTTGACAAATATCAAGAAAGTAATTTTGAAAATGCAAATACTATAATTTCATAAAATCATTGAAATTTTTAAAAAAGAAAAATTTTTAGTTGCATTATACTAGTTTAATTTGCTTGAAGAAAAAAAAAATGAAATTAAATTTGATAATTAAATATTATGTAATCTTGAAATTAAAATAAAGTAAAATTCAGCTTGAAGAATATTTGATAATTACATTTGATGTAATCTTGAAATTAAAAAAAAGTAAAATTCAGCTTGAAGAATATTTGATAATTACATATAATGTAAAATTAAATATTTTAGTTTCTCTTATTTATATTACTTTCATTTTTCTTTTAAATAATTTCTTTAGCTGATAAGTTACAAATTATCTTTTATAATTTTATCATTTAAAAAATTAATAAATTTTAAAATTATTTAAAATAATGTATATATATATATATATATATATATATATATATATATATATATATATATATATATATATATATATATATATAATATATATATATATATATATCTGTGTGTGAGTATAAATAATTAGTATGTTTTTACATTTATTATCAGAGTTTATTTTGGCTCAAAATGAGGATGACACCAAATCATTTAGGATTGTTGCTAGAATTTATGAATATCTTAATAGTCACTTTGGTGTTAATTTGCATGAGTTCAATCAAAGAATGAAAAATGCTGGTCTTGTGAAAGCTGCTTTAGCAGATAAAGTAATTTTGTTTTTAAATTTTTTAATTTTCTGTTGGTTCATTTATAAATTGCTAAATTTTTAATTTTTTTCTACAAAATTAAAAAAGATTCTTTAAAAAACATTTTATGATAAGACGATAGAATCTTTTTATTGATTATAATTTTTTTATGATAATAATGAGTACCTCATTTATTATGAGTTAATGCAGATTTCTATAATGAAAACTAAATCTTTTTTTTTTTTTTTAAATTTAATAATTTACTCTAAACAAGGCGGCAAACAATTGTACTCAATAAAATTTTGTACAATTTTGAACTTATTAATAGCGTAAAGTAGGGGGCTTAGTAGAGTGTTGTTCATCAATATTGATTGAACAACACCACTGCCTTGTTAGTAGTAAATATGCAATTTCCAGAGATCTTAAAAATTGAACCATATAACAATAATAACAATAAGATGAACAACTGAAGATGCTATTACTAAGCAGGTAATAAAGATTTAGCTTTGTACTTGTTGAATAATTTAGAAAGTGTTGAAGAAAGTTCTGAAGAACCCTTTTGTAAGACTTTGTCAAGACCACTGTGCATTTCTCTCCTACACAATCTGTTGAGTTTATGAGAGAAATTTCTTTAGTAACAGAAGCCAGAGAGGTTTGGATTTTTTACAATTGATTACCCTGTTTTTTGGGTAAGACCAGATTTATAATAAGCCAGAGAGATTTGGATTTTCCTGATGTTTCCAGTACTTTACTTCTTAGAGGTTTAGTAAACTGAGAATAATGGAGTTTACCATCAGCACCTTGCTGCAAGATTTTCTTGCAATAATAAAAAAGGTAATAGAAAAGACACAAATCAAGGAGTGATTTGGGTAGTTTAAATAACAAGTCAAATAAGGGAATTGATATGCAAATATATGGTCAGGCTAAACATCCAACTATTGTAGTCTTAGCGACTCAAAGGATAATACCCATCATTACTGAAACTTGAAGATAAAACAGCCTAATTTAAATTGGTCTTACAAAGAGCAAGTAAACCTGATAAAGTTTACAAATGCTATATTTTAATGAAACAAATAAAACATGTTTCATTAAAAAATTTTGAAAACCAAATCATTTTAACTTTTTAACTCCTTTAAACTCAAAATGGAAATTTAAAAACTCTTTTTTAAAAACTAGCATGAATATTTTTGGTATAAAATAGAAAAACTCAATTTTCTTTAAAGTTTTTGCTCCTAATTGTTTAACTGTGTGCCAAAACTTTTTAAACAGACTAAGTATTTACCTTTAGTTTTTTTAGTTGAATCTGCATGTCATTTAAGTTGGGGAAAAACAAATAAAAATTTTATTCAAAACCTTTAATATTTTTACTCATGCCTCCATTTACACCGTCGAGCCCTTCCACAATAAACTGAGCCCTTCCCTTGTTACAACAAACATTTTGTTCCACCATGACCAAATTATTTTTCAAAAAAGACTTAAGGAACAATATATAAAAAGCTTATATCAGCTTTGTATATACTTGAAAAATATTTATTTTCATTATTTACTAATAAAGTTTTTTGTCCCAAGTCTAATTTCTGAATGATATAATTTTTTCATTTACTTTCTTAAATTAGAAAAATAAAGGTTTATTGCTATGATTTTCTTTTAATATAAAAATAATTGTAAAATTTTTAAAGCTTCATGGATGCAAATATCATTTACGTGCTATTCTTGTTGAACATATTCAACTTCACCACGAAATGAGAGTTTTATATCGAGTCTCTTCCTTATACACATTAACAGATCAAATTATTGTTCACGATCTTGTAAAAATGAGCACAAGTGCTTACACAGAGGTAGGTTATATTTATCTTGCTTTTTTGTTGAACAATTCTTAAAAAGTTTTTCAAAAATTTTTTAATTTTGTTTTAAAAAAATTTGTTAAACTTTTATTGACATAGGTTCGTATTGATGCACAAAAAATACTTTCGCAACAGTTGAACATATTTGATTATAGCGCCAGATCAATTTTGCCATTACTACTTGGGAATTTAAAAGAAGATCCAAGTATCTCTCATGAAAAGTTAAAAGGAACATTGTATTTATTTTTAAACAGTAACTTACTCAATTTAATAACACATTATTTTGAGGTTTTGGATTATTCATGGCCTGTTTTTGTTCAAGCCAATCATTCCGAAAAGCTATCTATTGTTACATTAATTCAAAACTTATGTTCTAAAATATCATTAAAATATGATACACTTGGTATTAAAAGACAGGTAAAACATTAAATATATTTTTTTTTATATTCTCGAATCTTGTGCTTTTTTTTAGCGTATTCTTGCTATAAGAAATATGTTTAAAAGAAATAGTTTAAAAGTTAT